CAGCTAGTCATCACCACCCACCGTCAACTCTTGGGCTACTCTTTTACCAACGAATAGTGGGATTGAACGTCACATTATAACACCCCCACGGCTGAAAGGGCGAGCATGTTTGGTGGGACGAGGATTCGAACCCGCGACCCTCAGATTGCGAGTCGAGTGCCCTAACCACCTGGCTATGGAAAATAAGTAACTACACAACACTACGTGTGTTTCTGGTTGATGTCCAAAAATAATCCTGAACAAGTAAAGTTAATCCATTTTTTTTATCAGGTTTGTTGTTAATCAAGGAAATTTCTGTTAAAACGTTTTTAGTGTATTAGGCCTCAGTAGTTTCAAAAGTTATGTTGAAGAGTTTGTTGCCGATTTCAAGCCTACAATTTGTGTCAAAATGAACGTAGCCCGTAGCAAGCGTTATTGACAAAATTTATTATCGTTACGTGGGTTGGACATGGAATTATTTTACAAAATAATCCAAAAAGAACACTTTACAACAATCAATTATTCTTGCTTGAAGACATGAAAAGGGCTTTGCAATATCAGGTGCGCGACTTTCTTCCACTGGAATAAATTCTAAGCTTATCCGAAAAGAGACAAAATCTTTATTACGCCAGTGAGTTATTATTTTTAAATAATTATATGTTTATACTGTTGTACTAAATGTCAGTGTGGAAAACTTCTAATTTGTCCCTCTATAATCCTCTTGTTGCGTCAGCGAGGTCACGTGACTAGTATCACGCCACCTGTTTCTAGAAATATCCTGTTCCTTTAAGAATGCCCTAGCATTTACTAGATATGTGTTAGTCTTGTATATATAAAACGTTCACAACGTGACGGGAGAACAGTGTAATGAGTAATTGAACTGCAGTCAGAGAGTATTGTCGAACTGAGCACGTGAGACGTTCGTTGTTATAGCGTTTGTTATAGCGCGACTGTTGAAATTAAGTGTATCGCAAAGTTATATTCAGAAAGAATAAACCAGTTTTATTTAAGAAAGGACTTGTGTCGCTAAAGTTTCGTCGGAACGAAGTTACGGAAAATTAACTAACAAACGGAGACATAACAAATTGGTGTCAGAGAGTGGGACAAAAAAAATGGAAACGAGAGGCAGAAAATCAAACTACAGCTTAGCAGATTTGATGGCAGCAATACAAGAGCAGTAAAAGAAACAAAAAGAACGAGAAAATAAACAAGAAGAACGAGAAGAGAAATTAGAGCAGTTGTTGGAGGAAAAAGAAAATAAACAAGAAGAACGAGAAAAGAAACAAGAAGAGAGACAACAGCAGTTGCAAGAAAACCTGCAACAGTGGCAGCTCGAACGACAAAATAAACAAGAAGAGAGATTACAGCAGTTGTTAGAGGAAAAAGAAAAGAAGCAAGAAGAACGAGAAAAGAAACAAGAAGAACGAGAAAAGAAACAAGAAGAGAGACAACAGCAGTGGCAAGAAATCCTGCAACAGTGGCAGCTCGAAC